CAGCAATTTAGCAAGGACCTAAAGCAACTCAGCCAGACCCTGTCTCTAAATAAAATATAAAAAGGGCTGGGGATGTGGCTCCGTGGTTAAGTGCTCCTGGGTTCAATCCCTGGTACAAAAAAAAAAAAAACATAAAACAAAGTTGAAACGTAAGAAGTGTTGGTGAGGGGGCTGGGGATGTGGTTCAGGCGTTAGCGCGCTTGCCTGGCATGTGTGTGGCCCGGGTTCGATCCTCAGCACCACATACAAACAAAGATGTTGTACCCGCCGAAAACTAAAAAATAAATATTAAAAAATTCTCTCTCACTCCTTCTCTCTCTCTCTCTCTCACTCTCTCTTTAAAAAAAAAAAGAAGTGTTGGTGAGGATGTGGAGAAATTCTTGCACACTACTGGTGAGAATGTAAATTAGTGCAACCATTTTAGAAAACCATATGAAGATTCTACAAAAAAACTAAAAATAGAATTAGCATTTAGGACTGGGGATGTATCTCAGAGGTAGAGTATGCTTACACAAGGCCTAGGTTCAATTCCTAGCACCAGAACAAAAAAGAATTGCCATATGATTAAGCAGTCTCATTTCTATCCATATATCCAAAGGAATTTAAGTCAATAAGCCAAAGAAATGACTACCCTTTTTGTTGTTGTTGTTGCACAATTTATGGAATCATGTCGCACAAGATACGGAATCAACCTAAGTATCCACAGGCAGATAATGGATATAGAAAAAAATGCAGTATATACATGCAACATAATACTTTTCAGCCTATGAAAAGAAAGAACGTCATTTTCAATAATATTGATAAACCTAGAGGACATTATGCGAAGTGACAAGCCATGATCTCACTTACATAGGGGAAAATAAAGAAGTGGAACTTGTTTAGGTAGAGAGAGGAATGCTGGTTACCAGATTCTGGGTGGAGGGTAGGCAGGGAAGGAGGAGATGTTGGTCAAGGTGGAAAAACAGCTTTTGGGGAGATGGCTTTGAGATGGATGTAGTACCAGACATGACATTGTATGTATTAAATAACACGGAGTTGTTCACTTTAAAATGTTTATTTTGCCAAGTGCCATGGCATACACCTACAATCCCAGACACTGGGAAGACTGAGACAGGAGGATCATAACAAGTTTGGTGCAGCTTTAGCAATTTAGCAAGACCTTGTCCCCAAAACTAAAAAGGACTGGGGATGTAGCTTAGTGGTAAAATGCCCTTGGGTTCAATCCCCAGTGCAAGCACGCGCGCGCACACACACACACAAAGGAAAGAAAGAAAAAGATGTTTTGTTTTGTGAATTACTTTCTTTTTCCTTTTTTTTTAAAACAGTGTCATGCTATGTTGCCCAGGCTTGTCTTGTAACTCCTGAGTTCAAGTGATCCTCTCTCCTCAGCCTTCAGAGTAGCTGGGACTATAGTTGTGTGCCTCTGTTGCCTGCTATTATGTGAATTTTACTTCAATAAATGTTTTTTTAATTAAGCACATGCAAAATATCTACAATATCTGCAGGGGTGGGGATGCACCAATGCTCACATGGACCTCCCTCCGGTGGCCCTTGTTATCTCACCAACTGCACTGCTGTTGATTTTCATCCTCTTGGATTTTTTTCAGTAGTTTCACCCCCTGTGTTTGCCTCCTGGAACAATATGTGCTTTGGCTTTATGTTGTTTCCTTTTTTTCCTTTTAGCAGTGCTGAGGATGGGACCAGGGCTTTGTGTGGGCTGGACAAGAGCTCTCCCATGAGCCACATGCCAGCCCCCATTTTGCTTCTGAAGTTCGTGTATGGCACGCGTCTTGCTGTGTGGATTCCATGAATCTCCTGTTTTCCACCAAGGACTTCCTGAGGTTCATGTGCCTTGTGTAAAGCTCTGATAAAGACATTTTTTCGGCTGCTTCCCTTGTTTGAGGATACCATCTTCTCTATTGACACAGAAAATGGACATTTGGGTGCTGTCTTACTTGTCTCCATAAGGAACTGCAAGGTTAAGAATGTTGTTATACATGTTTCCTCTGAACATGTTCAGATTTTTCTTTAGAAAAAATATTTTGGGTCAACTGTGGGGTTTTAGAGAATGCATGCCTTCAATATTACTTGCTAATTTCAGATTATTTCCCAAGATGTCAGTTTTATTGTTTTTTACCAAAGCACCAGTGGTTGACTTTGTTGATCTTTTCTATAGTGTTTGTGCTAGGTTTCATTATTTTCTGCCCTTACCTTTATCATCGGTTTCTGCTAGTCCTAGCAGTCCAGTTTTCATTGCATTACTTTCTTGATAGCACTAGGCATTGTCAGATTTTTTTTTCATTTTTTTCCATCTGGTGATGTTACATGGTAACTCATAGTGGTCTTGTTTTGTGCTATAGTCAGAGTGTCCTCTTATGTTGAAACCCAAACCCCAATGGGATGGTATTGGGAGGTGGGGCCCTGGGAAGTGATCAATTCACAAGGGTGGAGCCCTCAGGAATGGGATTAGTGCCCTTGTAAAAGGGACTGGAGACCTCCTTTGACTCCTTCCTTCCTTGACCTGAGGACACAGCAAGAAAGACATCTAGGAACTACAGGGGTTCTCACCAAACACTAAATCTTCAGATGCCTGGATCTTGGACTTCCCAGATTCCAGAGTTGTGAAAAATGCATTCCTGTTGTTCACAAACCACTCAGTCTACAGTCGTCTATTACAGCAGGCTGGATGGACCAAGACACCTTGGGTCTGCAATAACAGATGGGTTTAAGTATTTTCCTTCTGCTTATTAACAACCGTCAAGTGCCAGTTCTTATCTTGTTCCCCATATTTCTATTAGGTTGTTGATTAAATGGAGACAACCTTTATACAGTATGGACTTGAAGCTTTGTGATTTATAACTCCTCCCAGTCTGAGGCTTCTAATGATGTTTTTGAAAAACAAATTGCTGAGGGGGCACGGGAGCATTTTAAAAACTATATATCCCTTTGCACGTTATTTTGTACTATGTGCATCTATTATCAAAAAATAATGAAATTTAAATTAAATCAAGAGATTCATCTCTATCACTTTATCCTGGTTAATTTTTCTTTACAGTTCTTTCATACTGTTCATTCATTACATCATTCATGAATTCTCTCATGTATGTCCTGTGAGTGAGAGAAGCACCTTCTCTATCCACAGTTACATCCCCAGTACTTCAAATACTGCTTGGCATGAAGTAGTTCCTAAATGAACATTGTGCAAGGAAAGAAGGAACTAGAAATAGAGGAGAAGGGCAGCCATGAGAAGCCTCCCTATGTTGCCCAGGCTGGCCCCAAATCCTGGGATCAAGTGATCCTCCTCTGGCCTCAGCTTCCTGAGTAGTATGTGCCATCACAACTGGCTGCCAAGATCCTGTTTTCAGTGTTTTTGAATATTTACCCAGAAGTGAATTGCTGGATCATATAGTAATTCTACTTTTGATAAAATTTAAAATTATTTCTGTCCTTGGGATTGAACCCAGGGGTGCTTAACCACTGACTCCCAGCCCCAGCCCTTTTTTAGTTTGTGAGACAGGGTCTCCTTAAGTTGCTCAGGCTGGGGCTGGGGATGTGGCTCAAGCGGTAGCGTGCTCACCTGGCATACGTGTGGCCCAGGTTCAATCCTCAGCACCACATACAAACAAAGATGTTGTGTCCGCCGAGAATTAAAAAATAAATATTAAAATTCTCTTTCTCTCTTTCAAAAAAAAAAAAGTTGCTCAGGCTGGCTGAAACTTGCAATCCTCTGCTTGAGCCTCCCGTGTTGCTGGGGTTGCTGGCATGCATCTGATTTCTACTTTTTATTTTTTGAGGAGCCACCATACTGTTTTCTGCAGCACCCGCTCCAGTTCATGTTCCCACTAACCATGCACTAAGGTTGCAATCCCTCTATGCTCTTGCCAGGGATTGTTCTTTTGTCATTTTTTCATAGTTGCCATCCTAATGGTTGTGAGGTAGCACTTCTCTCTGAGAATCAATCTCTCATTTGTCCTTCAGGAATAGAATAGGACTCAATTATATCAGCTGATGCCATGAAAGTCAGTACAGATGGTCCCTGGTTTATGATGGTTTGACTTTACAATGGTGAAAAAACTATACACATTCAGTAGAAACTATACTTCAAATTTCGAATTTTGATCTTTTTTCTGGACCCGCTGTATGTAGTATGATACTCTTTCTTGTGATGATAGGCAGTTACAGTGAGCCACACTTCCAGTTAATGAAGGGCAACCACCAATGCTGTACAATACATGAGACAGTCAACACTTTGTTATAAAAAAGGCTTTGTGGGCTGGGGTTATGGCTCAGCAGTAGAGTACTCGCCTGGCACTGGGTTCAATCCTCAGCACCACATAAAAAATAAATAAAATAAAGTTATTGTGTCCAACTACAACTAAAAACAATTTTTAAAAAAGGCTTTCTGTTAGATGTTTTTGCTCAACTGTAGTTGTAATGTGAGTGTTCTGAACAAGTTTAAGGTAGGCTGGCCTAATTTTTGATGTTCAGAAGGTTAGCTATATTGAATGTATGTTTTTGCACTGAGGATTGAACCCAATAGGTGTTCTATCATTGAGATAGAGCCCAGTCCCATTTATTTATTTAGACATGGTTTCACTAAGTTGCTGAGGCTGGCCTTGAGCTTGCGATCCTCCTGCCTCAGGCTCCCAAGTTGTTGGGATTGCAGGAATGCACCACTACCCTTGGATTCTTTCTTTATTTTTTCTTTTCACAGTGCTGGGAATTGAACTCAGGGCCTCCAACACAATGGACAAGCACTTTACCACTGAGCTACAACCACAGCCCTAATGCCTGGCTTATTGAATGCATTTTTTACTTATGATGGGTTTGTTGGAAGGAACTTAGCCCCACTGTAAGACAAGGAGCATCTGTAAGGTCTGTGTACATCTGCAGCTTGGTACTTTTAGTTACATCTTTTCAGTTTAAGATGCTCCAGACAGAAACTATTCTAACATAAAGGCAGGACATAAGGAATACGAAAAAGGAATGGAAGAAGGCAATCGAAGGGTACTTTCAGCTTTTACTCTTCCTTCCACATCATAGATGCACATGATTCAGTACTACATAAGGTCTTTGGGCAGAACAATGCTTTCTTCCTCCTCCCGCTTCCTCCTTCCTTTTCTGCATGGCATACACAGCATACCTTGCCTCCCATTCCCAGCTTTCTGTGGGACCATGATGTCATTTGATGTAAGTGCAATTAAAAGTCCAATGTTCTTCTTCAGTTCTAACCACTATGAACACTTGAGTTAAGTACTGTCATATTCATTTCCTAACTTGGCCATTTACTGACTCACTAATGTATGGCTTTGGTGAGAAAAGCTCCTGGGTGGAAACTTCATACCCTAGTTACTTCTCTAGCTAATGTGGAATGCTCTGAATTGTCCATACGCTTTCTTTCAGTTCCTACCTGCAGCTGATACTCTTTTGGGGGTGTTTTCCTAACTCATCAGAGTCAGGAGCAGAATGGGTGCCATGCTAAGTCCAAACATGCCTGGCTTCTGCCTCTCTCACTTTTGACATTTATCCAAACCCACCCTGTTCTTTCTCACCTCTGTGTCCCTGTGCAGCCAGACTTCTTCTTGCATTGCCCTTGCCATCCACCCTCACCTAGCTGTCTACTCATGTAGATTCAGCATAAATATGCTTTCCTCTGGGAGTTTCCCTTGGTGTAGGTGGGCTACGTGCCCTTTCACGGTCTCCCACAACAGATGTGCTCAACCCCACTTACCATAACCTACATTTCAGTTGTACTGCTGCATGGAGCACACACTTAACTTAAAGGAATTCCACTATTTCTGCTTGGTCAAACAGGGAGAAAGAAAGTAACAGTTTAAATAGGGCCATGTGGATCCATTCAACACTCCTCTGTGAGCAAGCAGCAGGATATCTGACTGCATCTCCCTCCTTAGTTTTTATTTTTGTATCGGGAGCATCTGGCCTCTCTGGGAATGCTTCTGGTGTTTAAAGATACATGCTTCACAGAGCAGGAAATGTTCCAGGCATAGCAAAATGTTGGGATGCTGAGGAACAAAAGAAAAAGAAGGAAGACAAGAAGAAAAGGCAAACAAGACATATCTACCTATTATCAAAGCTGTAGGAACTCGGGTTCAGATCCCAATTCTGTTGCTAACCAACTAGGTGTTTTGGCCAAATCACTAACTTGTCTAGACTTCAGATCACCTGGTGTGTCCGCCCATCTTTTATGGTCACCCTGAGGCTTCAATGAGTTATAAATGTAATGTGCCCACAAATATCAGTTCAGTAATAGTTCGTATTACCCCAGCCCACCCAGCCCTCCCTCCAGGAACCCTGAACCATTGGATTCCATCGAGCGAGGACAGGAAGAGTGTCAGGGTAAGGAAAATTTTCAGGCGATGTAGTATCTCCAAGGTTCTAGCTGAAGTTGTCCTCTGAACCTGGACCCTGGTTGGCACCCAGGGCTGCCTCAAGCTCTCCAGTAGCTGCACACTGGCTATAAGAACCTGGTTATAAACCATCTACGGAAACTTAGGAACCGGCCCTTTCCCAATCCCCTGTGTGCCACCCTTCTCATTACACTCTTCCCTCTGGATGACATTTAGCTGCGTCGGGGTCTGTGTCCCTTCTGACGGACAGTTCTTTCAGGAAAGACGCGCCCGCAACCCTTGAATGCTCAGCCCAGCCCTTGGTGTCCCACGGCTGGAGGCAAGAAAGTTCGTTGGTTGAAAGCTTAATGCCTGGATCACAGTTAATGATGCAGGAGCCCACCTTCCCGAAGCCCCGACCCTACAATTGCTGCTGTGGCTCCATCCGGTGCAGCGGGGCCCTGGGGATGCGACCGCAACTTTTGCACACAGTAGGCGCTCTGTAATCCATTTAACCCGGATCTGTAATCTGTAAATGCCACCCCAAGTAGCTGGGCTCAGGCTGCCGCCCAGCGCCGTTTCCCGGCTCTATCTGAGATGCCGAACGCTCCCGGATTGTGGGAACCCGAGGTCCCAGCCTTCGGCCCCACCCCCTCCAGTCCAACAGCACCGAGTCGCCCCTAGCAACAGCAACAGGGCGGCGGTCTCGGGCCCCGCTGATTGGCGAACTTTGGAGGCGCCGATGTCGTCACTTCCGGTACCCGGATGCAGCGGAGGAAGCCGAGAGGCGGCCATCTTGGGTCCGTGAGGCTCGGCTGTGCCGGGGAGCGGCGGCGGCGACGCGCCCGGCGCGGTGGGCTCCGGCGGCGGCGGCGGCGGCTGCCGGCAGGGTGGGGGCGAAGTGGAAAGCGAACGGGATAAGGGAAAGTAGCCGGGCGCAGGCGCCTCCCCCACGGCCCCCTCCATGGTCGGCGCTCGCAGCTCGCGGCGGCCTGTCTTGCGCTCCACCTTCTTCACATCCTCCTGCTGCTCCTCCTGTCTCGGGGCTGCCCGCGGCGCTGTGTGGAGGCCC